CTAAGGCAAATAGGTAGGTGTATTTTACACTAGCCAAAGTGATGCCACTGCTAGAGTCCTCTCTCTCTCCAAGGGTCCTAAGCCCTGCACACCTGCATCCCCGAGCAGCTCCCGTTGGCCTGCCCTACCAGCTGTGCAGAGAACGAGGGAGCTGCACTGGGAGACAGACGGTCTGGGTAAGGCTCTCTCTCCAGGGGGTCCTAGGAGTGGCAATCTGAGGCCTCGGGAAGATGGACACACAGGACACATGTTCACTGGCCACCTCTAGTGACTGGAAGGCTGCTGGGTTGAACGATCCACACCTGAGTTCTATCTGCAGCCAGATGAGATCCCTAACTCCCCATAGGTGATATAGGACCAAGAGAGGGATGCCTGTGAATGTAATGCATGGACAAAAATATGCTGCATAACTATTCCCAGCATCCACTGTCCATGACCTTGCTCAAATGAGGTGCCCACAAGGCTGCCGAAGTGTCTGGCCTATTTCGCCATTTCGACCCATCCAGCTGAACCTGTTGTCTGGCGCCCAGTGTAGCCACACCCACCCGGCCCCTCGGAGAGGATTAATGGTAGGAATGCTCCCTAGACAAAGCAGAGCTGTTTGTGAACATTGGGAAGCCTGGGGGTGGAACACGGAAAAGTGGTTCCAGTAAGATGTTAGGTGAGAAGGGCAGAAAGGAAAATGTTATCTTCTATGCCACTGCCTTGAGACAACGTGAAAATACGACGGAGACAAGACCCTGAAGGACAGGGAGAAAGCTGAGCACGGCCGTCAGTATGGAATGAGCACTTTTTTTCTATTTTCTGAACTTCCTGGATCACCGTGACACTCGTTTCATGCACTGTTTTCATGGGAGTGACATGAACAGATAGATTTATAAAAGTGGCCCGTGTGTGCCATCACTCTTATCCCATCCTCGCACGGCACACATCCATCTGGGCCCTCCACATTCACTTGTGTCCAACTTTCCTTGGCTCATTGGTCCAATCTGTCCCACAAGAATGAGAGCCCCCTAAGGGCAGGGTCTGTGTCCCCAGCTGGTGTAAAGTAGCCTCTCATTGTATATTTTCAACAGAAGTGAATACGAGGCGTTAAAAACCCATTCCCCTTAAAAACAAAACAAAACGAACAAAAAAAACCCATCCTCCTTTTGCAAGATGAAGACAGTTCTATGAATGGATGGTGGTGATGGTTGCACCACAATGTGACTGTACTTGATGCCCATGAGCTGTACGCTTAGGTTAAAGTGGTAAATGTTGTTTTGTGTATTTTATCACAATTTTCTTTAAAAAGCAATTCTTTTAATACCCAAAGAGCAAGTACCCCGCCTCCCCCCTCCTCCTCTTCCCCAGCCCCTTGGCCTCCTTCTGGGCCAGGGTCCCTTTCAGAAGGCGGGAGGCTTCGCTCCTCGCTTCCGTGTTTATCCGGTGGAGTTCTGGGAAGCGGAGACTCAGCCCAGGCTGGCCGGGGCCTGGCTCCAAGGCTCCGGGTTTGCCACAGGGGCCTTTTTCCACCTACCCAGGCCCAGAGCTGGCACTGCACAACATCCTGGCTCACTCGCTTTTTTTCTTCCCTCAAGTCATTATAAACCGATTTACCTTTGGGCTGCACAGGGCCTAGGCTCCAGGCAAACAAACGTAGAAGAGGAGCAGCAGGCATGGGGAACTCGACTGGAGACAAGAGGGTAAGGAGGAAAGATGGGATCCCATTCTCATTAAATCCTTCCGTTTTCCTCCAATTCAATTCCCATTTTCCAAGTGCCTCCCCATGCCAGGCACCACCTTCAGACATGGACAAGTACCAAGGTAGCAATGCCGGGGGCCAGCAGACCCCTTCGCAGGAATGAACTGCGATCGCAGAGTTTATGCCATCAGTCAGTGGAGGACAGAGAGGCCAGCTCCGCTGGGAGGGTCAGAGCAGGCTCAGTGAGGAGGAGACAGGAGCTGGACCTGCAGAAGAGAGCCTAGCATGCTGGCAGTGTGGGACAGGACCTGGTGCCAGGCTGAACTGGCTCCTGCCATGGGAGGATGCTGAATTGGAGAGGGTGACAAAAGGGCTCCCTGCTTCTCCCGAGCACATTCCTGGGCCCAAGCCAGGGCGGGGGCTCCGCGTACTTTCCAGGTGCCAGAGGTTCGCTCTTGGTCTCTGGTGGACTCCTTCCCACATTCGTGAACAATGAGGCCCCTGGTAGTCTGGGCCAGTGATTCTTGGCCCTGGTTGCATGTTAGATTCACCTGCGGAGCTTTAAAAAACTACTGAGGGGAGGAGGGGGTTGTCCAACAGAGGCTCTAATTTCATTAGTCGGGGGGTGCTCAGGCATCAGTAATTTTCAAAGCTGCCCTCTGCTTTCAGGCAGCACCTTAGTGAGGCCCTGCAGAGAACTACCTCCAAAACCTTTTGTTAGTGCTGTACCCATCAGGGTCGAAAAACAGAAGCTTTAGTGTCAGCCCCAAATTGAGTATGAATCTTGGTTCTCCACCACTTACAATTAAGTGCCTTAGGTAGGATTGTCAGGTAAAATACAAGATGCCCAGTTAAAATCTGAGTTTCAGATAAACAGTGAGAAACTTTTTAATGTATATCCCAAATGCTGAATGGGACATACTTAAATTTGTTGTTGTTTATCTGAATTTCAAATATAACTGGAATCCTGTAATTTTATTTGCTAAATCTGGCAACCCTAGACTTAGGGCTGATTACTTAACTTCTCCAAGTCTCAACTGCCCCATCTGTCTCAGGAAAATAACCCAGGTGAAAGCAAGCAGTGAGCTGTTTGGCATTAAGCCAACCTTCAGAGGGTGGAAGTTACCTTTTCCTTCCTTCCTTCTCAGAACCTCGTTTCAGTAAAGATTTTCTTTTTCTTTCTTTTAAAAATATAATATGTATATATATTTAATATATTTTTATTGATTTCAGAGAGGCAGGGAGAAGGAAAGAGATAGAAACATCAATGATGAGAGAGAATCATTGATCAGCTGCCTCCTGCATGCCCCACACTGGGGATCGAGCCCACAACCCCGGCATGTGCCCTGATCAGGAATCAAACCGTGACCTCCTGGTTCATAGGTCAATGCTCAACCACTAAACGTTGCAGGCTGGGCAAGATTTTATTTTTCATTATGAAAAATTTTAAGTATACACCCAAAATTAGCAGGAATGAACTGCTATCCTTAATACATGGTTCCTGTCCAGAATATTTATATTCTTTTAAATATAAATATTTTTATATTTAAAAGAATAGTAAAAATAAAACTCCTATATAAATCCATGTAGTGGATGCTGTTACATGCCCCAACCAGGTCCCCTTTAGCCCCTAGGAGGTCAGGCTGCCACTGGTTCACAGATGCCCTTTATGGGAGAATTGTCCTGGGTCAGGTAGCTCCCCCGCCCTGACCACCATCAACATGGGAACAAAAGGCTGACCCTTGCCTTAACGTGTGACCAACTCTGGAGTGCAGTTCCCGCCCCAGAGCTCCCTGCGGATCAGGCTGAGGCTGGACTCCAGCTGAGACCAAATGCTTGCTGCCCCGTCCTGCTTCCCTCACTCGCTTCTCCTGCAAACAACCCCCCCCCCCCAATAAATCACATGCATCCAAATCTGCACCTCAGACTCTGCTTTTAAGAACTCAACCTAATTAACGTTCACTCATTTAACAATCACATGGATGGCTTCATTTAGCCCCTGTAGTTAGTTATTTGCCTGTTTGTTTGGCTGAAGTACGTACCTCATACCATCTCCCCCTACATCCATCATTACACATCTCTAAAAAAATATGGGCAGTTAGGTTTTGACTTCCTTCCCTGGTTTTCCTCCCAAAGGGGAAGGCTCTTGTGAGGGAAAAAGTCATAGCTCCCATCAATGACAAGGAACAGGGACCAGAAGCCAACCAGGTGGGCACAAGACCATCCACTCTGGCTCCAGCCCAGCCCTGGACTATGGCGTGGCTTTGGTGGCCAGCAGGCCCTGTCACCCCAGGTCCCACCTCTTTTGTGTGGATCAAGAGCCCTCAGACCATGTCCCAGCATCCTCTTGGGGATGCTGCCAGGGTCTAAGTGTCTCTCTATCCTTCAAGAGGGGGATGATGTGGAAAGGCCAACCCAGTCTTGGCTATCCACTGGCCAAAGGCCCTGCCCGCCCTTCTGCCTGGACCCTGGGCAGTCGCACCAACCAGGAGGCATAGCTGCAAGGGCCCACACTCTCCATGCCAAAGAGCCTGCTATGGCAGGAGGCACCACAGATTGGGGGAAAGGGCACACCAACCTGTTATGATTATAATGCAATACAGATAATATAAAAATAACCATTTTGAAGTGTACAGTTCAGTGGCATTAAGTACACTCACAGTGTTGTACAGACCTCCCCACTGCCTAGTTCATCACCCCAACGAAAACCCTGTGCTCATCAGTAATCTTCCCCTTCACACCCGCTTTTAGTTCCTTCACTTGCTAC